CAGTGAATGTCGACAATCACATAGTCGCTTTTGTAAATATCAGAAATATATACTACGTCTAGTTAAGTGCTACTGCCCGGTATACCCTACACTGATGTTTTTTTAAGGTTAACTGCCACTACTCGGTACACATTTGCCTGGTACTCCGAGCACTGATGTTTCTCCTAATCTATCCTCAGAAGATATTAAAATATCAAATAAATATAGTAATATCAACGAATAAATGAATATCAAATCGGATATAACAAATATTTCGGACATTCACCAAAGTGACTATTTGATTGTTAACATTCACCGGTGAATGTCGACATTCGGTCATACACGATAACATATTTAAATGGTTCTTTGAAACATGGAACTTTTCATATAGAATGTTTCTTTATTCATGTTTTCTCCTCAATTGAGCTTAGTAAACAAATTTAAAACCCTGTTTTTTTTCGTCTAGTTAGGAATATTTTATCCAACTTAGACTATGAAACGTTATCAATGGATAACGCGCGTATATTTATATTTTTCGCAATAAAGAATATCATTTTCTATAAAGATTTTAAATGCTAATTTCCATTTCATTGAAAGATTTTAAATATTATTTGGAAAAATAAACTCTTTGAATTATATTACTTGTCATAAATGTTTTTTTAAGTGTACTTCATATGCTGTGAATAACTTTACTCGCAATATTTGTGAAAATACATAATTATTAACGAAATAATAAGCGAAATATTTGAATGATTAGTGAATTTCAAACTCGCCATAAATAAAAAGGGTTTCAACAATGTAACAATGATAATTAAGCCTGCTGACATTGTTTTTTCATTCATGCATGACTGAATAATTAAATAAGTTTAGAAAACTTTACAGGCCTAAAACAGGTCTTACTGGTCTTAAACTTTACAGATCTAGTTTATTTTTAGAAAAGAACTTTTCGCAAATTGTGGAATGTTGGTTTGATTTTTTTTATATTTCAGATCTTTTCAACAAGAAAAGATTTATATTATTTTTATTAATTATTACAAAATTATGTTCTACAAAGTTATAAGCAAATATTTGGTTACATTTATATGAACGTTATTGTTGTAATACTTCGCTTATAAATGCATTATATAGTGAAGTTTTGGACGAAATACTAAATTTAATTAATTTTAATCGCGTGACTGACGAAGTTCTGACGAATAAGCTTGCATATTATTTCTTAAGAGGTCAAACTCATTCCAAGCTCCTTTCCTAGCTTAAACTCGCTATTCTATCCTCCAGAAACTAATGTTCTAATTTTTGGGCCTTCTGTCTTTACTTAAACAAAATTCTATTTTTCGTCATGTTCTTGTACTATTTTTAATAAGGAACAGCCTACACTACGAAATTACAATGTTCCTTTCAAAGCGAAATATATATATATAACAAATTAGACGCGCTGCAGTATTGCAGTAAGAGCGTGCCATAAGATATAACTTTATTTATGCTTCTGTTTTCATATTCTGTAATCTGGTAATCTTATTACGAAAATATTTTAAATCATTCTTGAAAGATACCGGTACGCGTAAGTTCATTTTATTCGCTCCTCACTATGTAGACTTCCTTTCGTGTACTGTTCTCTAATCTCTTCACATTTTAATTTCTGTTTTTTGCTTGATATATTTGTTTATTTTTTCGTATATATTTTTCACTTAATGTGTTCTAATTTCGTTTCAATTTTTTTCAGTGCTCCTCACACTATTGTATTGATATATTTTGCTTTGGCTATACTAATACAGTATTAGAAAGCACTTCTTTTTGCGTATATAATCGTGTGGGCTGATGAACAGATTATATCTTTTCTTTGTATTGTTTTCCGAATTTTTAATTTTTTTTTATTTTATTTTATTTTTTTTTAGATATCAAAATTTATATTTTTTTAAATACTTATGAAAAATTATTTTTAATAATATTCTTCTCTTGTCATTATTTTTTATTATTTTCCATATTTTCTCAATATTTTAGCTTATTTTATGAGTTCTATATACTTGCAGCTTATGCACAGTTAATAAAACTTATTAATTTTCTTCGTTTTTCTCTTTGTTTTTATTGTGCTATGTTATAGNATATATATATATATATATATATATATATACAGCAAAATAAATCAATACAAAAGGAGAAAACCGCAAAAATTAAGAAAATCAATAAGTAACTAACAAATCAAAAATGCTTCAGTACTGCAGTAAGAACGCGTTATAAAACAAAATCCCTCTATTTACGCTTTTACGTCAATTTTCGCCTCTGTTTCCACATTATGTAATCTAGCAATCTTAGTACGAAAATATTTTAAATTATTCTTGAAAATTTTCCCGTTTATGTAAAGTTCATTTGAATTCGCTACTCGCTTTATAGATTGAGTTTTATGTTTTGTTCGGATTTTTACGTGATATTTTTTACTTAATGTGTTCTATTCTATTTTGTTCTTTCAAAAAATTAAGTGCTCCTCACATTGTATTGATATATTTTGCTTCGACTATATTAATACAATATTAGAATGCACTCCTTTTTGCGGATATAATCGTGTGAGCTGATGAAGAAATTATATATATACATACGTCGATACTCAAGTTAGGGCTGGAGAAGTGCGTGAGGAAATAGTTCAGTACGTAGGATTGGGATGAGTTTTCTATTTTATCTCAGATCAGAAATGGAAATAATTTTAATACTTCTGTTGTCTACTATGCTAAAGTGTCCCAAACTCATATTTACGTTCGTTTGAATGATTTAACGGCTGACGGCCAAATTTTAAATTATGACTAAAATTTAATACATAGAGAACTTTGGTAATATCTCAATCAACTCATGAAATTAATTTAAATTGATATCAAAGTATTTCCTCTAGGGAAACAGGTGGAAGGTGAAAAAAATTTTATTAATAAATAGGTCAAAACTAATTTAGATATTAGGATTGAAGAAGGGTTTCAAGAGCTAGAATATTTAAATACAGTTGTGATGTGCATTTAGCTTGGTTTCCATTTAAGTTTATATGTTGAAGTAGATAATTTTGAAAGGTGACCAAGCTGTTCGCCAAATGCGGCTAGTTTTAAATAAATATCTTATTGATATTATGAATGTTATAATTATGATGTAAGCAAAATAAAACAATTATTATAATCATAATGATGCTGATTGATGGTAAATGTTATGATCATTTCTCTCCGTTAAAGTAAGTTGGAAAAATAAAATATTCCTTAAACATTGCAGTTATTACAAAACAAAACAAAATATCACCAAGTTATCATTTCTAAAATACTACTGTTCAATTGAAAATAGAAAGTTAATTCTTCAACGACAGATTTCGAGAAAAATGATTTGACGCCTATTTTTTTTCCCTTGCAAAAATGCCAAGTATATAAAATCTCAATTCGAATTTCTTATCACTTACGTTAATTTTTGTATTGCGTGGCAAAATAATTCCTATTAATTTTATGCAAGAACATTGAAATCAAATTTACCTCTGAATAAGTTTATTTAAATAAAATAAAATTTTTATCAACACTGATGGAATTCTCTCAATTATATCTAAACACTATGATATATTAGTTAACACTGTTATAATTTTTCTTTTTCAATTTCGTTATGTTTCAATTGAAACTGTTAAAAGTTACTTTTTAAACAGTCAGATATTTTAATTAACATTGTTAAAAATTTATTATGCAGCTGAACTTTAATGAACAGTTTTTTTAGCTTTTTCTTAACCCTGTCACATTTTATTTTACTCTGTTTGAATTCATTTTTACACGCTGATTGGAACAGTCAGTTGAATACATTTTTTTAATATTATCAGTCTTTATTTGATTCCATTAAAATTATTTAATTGTTATTTTATTTTATTATCATTATTTTCAACACTGTTACATGTTAATGAAACTTGTTGAAATTTTTTTTTTTAAAAAAACTGTTTTTCGATTTATTTGACTTTGTAACGTAAAGTGTAGTTTTTTCATATTTAATATTTAGTCAGTTAAAAACCATTTTATTTATGACTCTTAATATTTCTTACTAGTGATCATTTTATTTAATGTTTTCGAATTTTAATAAATAAAAAAAACTCTACTTCATGATAATGGAATACAATAAAATGTATTACTCACATAAATAAAATCATGCTAAGATCGTAGTTAGCTGAACTTTAATTAACACTGTTAAAGTTTTGTTAACACTGTCACATTTTATTTTACACTGTTCGAATTCATTTTAAACACTCTTATGATTGGAAAAGTTAAATGTTTTTCTTTAATATCATCACTCTTTATTTAATTCCATTGGAATTATTTAATTGTTATTTTATTTTATTTTCATTATTTTCAACATTGTTACGTATTTATTCATATTTTTTTATATTTTTACATTTAGTTAAAAACCCTTTTATTTATGACTCTTAATCCTTATTACTAGTGATCATTTTAATTAATATTTCCGAATTTTATTAAATAAAAAAATCTCTACTTCTTAGAATGGAATTCAATAAAATGTATTACTCACATATGAAATCATGGGAAGATAGAAGTTAGCTGAATTTTAATTAACACTGTTAGAGTTTTTTTAACACTGTCATATTTTATTTTACACTGTTTGAATTCATTTTTAACACTCTTACACGCTGATTGGAACAGTTAAATGTTTTTCTTTAACATCATCACTCTTTATTTAATTCCATTGGAATTATTTTATTATTTTTAACATTGTTACGTATTAATTAAACCTGTTGGAATTTTTTTTTTAAAAAAACACGTTACAATTTATTTGACTTCGTAACGTAGTGTGTGAAAAAAAAAGTTAATGTGTTAGCATTCAGTCAACTAAAAACCATTTTATTTATGACTCTTGATACTTTTTATTAGCGATCATTTTATTTAATATTTTCACGTTTTATTTAAGATTTTAACATTTTATTTAATATTTTCAAATTTTATTTCATAATTTCACATTTTTTTTTTAATAAAAAAACTTCACGGGAGAATGCACTAAAATATATTACTCACGTATGAAATCATGGGAAGATCAAAGCTAGCAGCCATTCTGGCTTCATGGACACAGGTCTCTTGTGGTCCGACATAAACAGCAGCACCCTGTGTCCATAAAGTTGCCGTCTTAAAAATACTCTCGGATTCTTCGCCGAAAGTCTCTTCAACAGTGAAAGTCAACGTATGGTTATTTCTAATAGGATGAAACTGGTTAATTTCTTCGACTGCCAAACTAATTGCACCTGAGATAGTTAAGCCCGGTCTGGGATAACCCTTGTTGCCAGGCCGTCTTTGGGAACCAGTTAAATAACCAAGCGTAAAGTTTCTACTTCTTGCAATTCCAAAAAATAAGCTCACATGGCAAACTAATGATACCAGTATCCAATTCATTGGTGTTAGCATTACACTGTTAAAGGTTCTTTAATAGTATTTCACTTTAGTTAACATTTTTAATTATTTAAAATTTATTTTATTTATCACTGAAAGCAGTAACATTCATAAGGAGCGCTGTTAAAATAAATATTTTTGAGTTGCTGCATTTTATTTTAAAATGTAAACGATCATTTTTATTAAAAATGCTTTTTTATTTAATACCCTTACATTTTTTTTTAAATTTATAAATTTTTTAAAATTGCGAGCATTTCTCTCAATTAAACATTGTTGATTCTTTAACTTGATTAATACTGTTTAAACGACGAAAAAATATATTTAATTATTATGCTTTTTTTCTTAGTTGTAAAATTATGGTAACAAATAATTATAGTTAATAGATAGATATTATAGAATCATGGAGAAAATTATGATACTCTTAACAAATAAAATTTAAGTATATATATATATATCTTTTTTATTCGCTGAAAATGACAAGAGTTTTATTATGAATGAAAAAAAAACATTTAATCTTTAGAAAATAAATTTAAACTACATTGTCCTATTTTTTTTAAACACGAATATAATTTAGCAAACAAAATTTCCAAGTGATGAACCCCTAAAATTCATCTCCGATATTTTATTAAATTCTAGCAAATTTACCTTTAAAACATAACATAATAAATAGTTTCAAGTCATTATCAATTTAACTTATATGTTTTTCTTCTCCACGTTTTAATTATTTAACACAGTTTAATTTATTTTCGAAAGTAAATTGGCGCTATTTTATTTTCCTACCTCAGAAAGTAATATTTTTTAAACTGGGAAATTAGTTGACGGGAAATAAATCTTATCAGTACATTAAGGGGGAAAATAAATGCATTTACGAACCGGCGGAAATTAAAAAAATAAGAGGAGCGCGTCTAATAGCCTGTTGACTGTTTGATGGAAAGCACAAGAAATGACCGACTTGTTATAGAAAACTCCGGATGAACTGAATCTTCATCAGATGGAGAGAGGGCGGCGCATGCGTGGCAGGGCGCCACACACGTTACGGTTCGACAGGCAAATAAAGTTTAGATTTGGATTAAAAGATTGGAAGAGGGGCGCTATTTTAAAAGTTCCTCCTTACTTTTTTTATATAATTATTTCTTTTCTGCTTGGAAAAGGTATTCCTGAGTTTATAGAATAAAGAATACATTTATTGGAATAGGTTTTTTTAGATGAGTGATGCATATACAAGCTATTGAAACAGACTTCCTATTTTTTCGGCTTTTAAATTGAATGAGTGTTTCATTTTCTCAACGCGTAATCTACTTTTTTATAAATACAAAAATAATTGATCGACTTTTTTAGTTAAATTTTAACAATGGAGGAAAGGTTTAATGTGACATATCTGTCAATACGCGTTTTTTTAAACAGGTGTATTCTCGTAATTTATTTTGTTTTGTTCGAGAGTTTTATGTAAGCTATCGTAAATTGTCAAAATCCGTTATTTCAGCCGATATCAACTAGTAAAAAGGTGTCGCGTTCTTACTGCAGAGTGTGTTTTTGAGAATCTAGATCTTATTTTGTTTAGTTTTCGAGAATGACGTGTTACCATAAACAACCGTTTTTTATTCCCAAATAGCTGGATTAATATGAATTACCGAATAACTTGTAAAAAGTATATTGAATTTCATTGTGTAGTATTTTCAGTAATAGAAAGACCAATTCTTCTTATTTAATTATTTATTTATTTATTCATTCATTATTTCATTTATTTATTATCATTCCGAAATATTTGGATTAATAAAAATTATCAAATAACTTGCAAAAAGTATATTGAATATACCTCCTGTACTTTCTACTACACACTTTTGAAACTTCAAGTTTTAATTTGTTTAAGTTTTAACTCCAATTTATCCTTGTTTATCTAATGTTTATCTAATGTCTAATTTTACTAATTTTTGCGCAATAAAGCAAAATGTAAAAATAAACACACACAACAACGTTGCTTACGATTTTTTAATGTAGAAAGGTAGTTATTTATTTTAGTTTTTTTAATAATTAATTAAATATCTAAATAATATTTTATGACTAATTGTTTTTAATAATTAATTAAAATTTAATATAATTAATGAAATAATTAAATTAATAATAATTTAATTATAATTAATTAATTGCTTTTATAATTAATTAAACAGTTTTTAGTTAATTAAAAACTAATATAATTAATTCAATAATTAATTAAATCAATAATAATTTAATTAATTATGATTAATTAAATATTAATATTAATATTTTATAATTACTTTCAGATGACTGTTTCAAAAGCATGACTTCAGTTTAGTAACATTGTTCTCAAGTGAAAGCTGTCACAAAATGCGAAATGAAACGAAAATTCGAACTTTTTGTTGAAATACCTCATTAAGCACTCTTCAAAAAATATTTAAAAAATTTTTGGTGTCTTAAAACCCATTGATAAAATATACTCTGAAAATTAAAATCGCTCCATTACACATGCGCCCACTCAAAAAGCAATGCAATGAGATGAAACATTTCGTTCCGCTTTATAGCCACACAATATCTCCATTTTATTTTGCTTTACCAATGATTTGTTCCTTAAAAGTTTCATGTCGGATCATTTCGCATTTGCCTTTAAAAATGACAGTTTTTTGCAATTTCAATTATTTAAAGTTCTCAGAATAATACAAAAAACTGTTTGAAAAAACTTCGTACACCGTAAAAAGATTTCATTATAAGTCAACACCAAATATAGCAGCAAATACTCAACTCCTAAATAGCGTAATGAGACACCACACTTAATTCTTGTTTCATGGTGTTTCTCTGCACCAAAAACAAATAGTTCTTGTTGTAGAAATGTTCTTCGTTCTTTTACGCTACTGCTGCCCACCATTTTCGGTATCCAATTATAATAAAATTTGTATTTACAGATATAATACACATAAGAGTCTGTAAAGTTAATTTTTCGACACAATATGAAGTAAGAATTAATAATTTAGGATGCATGTATATGCTAATTTTAAAAGTAAAATTGTCTTTACTCACAGCAAAGAGAGAATAGGGAAAATTTGAACAAAGATTAACAAACAGATGTGAACAGAAATCAAATATGAAATTAATGAATACAATTGACCGATTTATGTAAAACCTCTGGTGAGAACATAATAGGATACCTGAAAGTAACGTAGTGTGGGTATCTCGATCCTGATTGGTTGTTGAAGCGTGGCATTTGTTTACGTTAGCAACTACTCTTTCCATTCTATTTCGAGTAAGCCAATCCTGTCAAGTAATAATTCTCTTGAGGGACACATTTTAAATTCTTTCACTACGTATTTACACAGAGACTTAACACAAAGACAAGCTTGAAGCCATGTGCAACTTAAACAAACTAATTATGCATCAAAGTTGCCAGGTACACAAAACAAAAATATATCACGGTTACAATAAAATACATAAACAAATAATAAGTCTAAGTTAAGTAAAAGACATAGACGAGAAAGAATTATATTTCAACAGATTCGATGTGCGATACGGCTGTGTATTTAATTAACTTATTGTTAATTAACGTTTTAACTTATGTAGAGAAACTTTGTTAGCTTAACTTTAATACGCCATTTTGCTGAAAAAGATTAGATGCCCCTGCAAAGTATTCAGTAGTATGAGATATTACAACAAACTTTCATTCCCTTATACTTGATTGCAAACAATCTACCGTTGTGATATAACAGTTTCTAAACGAACGTCAAAATTGGCAAAAATGATTCCTGAATGGAGTAAATGCATCTACGCTTGGTGTATTTCTCAAATATTAATATTTAGATTTAACTACGCCCTATTAAGTGTATATGAACGCTTGATTAGGTATCAACTTGAAATGAAGTATTCATTCACTCCATTTTTGGATTTTTTCCAAATTCGGAATAATATTGCACCAAAGTTTTTAAAGCGTGCGGTATAAAGAGAAATTCATCGGACTTAACAATGAGATTTATTTACTTACAGTTTAAAAAAATATTCGTGCTGTTTTGTGATACTTTTAAAAAAGAAAATATGTTTTATGAAAGGGGGCTAGTCTCAGATTAAAGTAAGTCTGACAGTTTTCAAGTCGAACAGCTAAGTCAGTCTACAGCTACCCTGTCTGCCGTCATATATTATTTAAACTATGTCATATCAGAAAATATTTTATGTTAATTTAGATGAAGACAGAAAAAAAAATCAGGAAATATTAGAAACATAAATTAGAACAGTAATTGGGCCGGGATAGCCTTGTCGGTAGCCCATGTCCGAGAGTTCGTGGGATCGAACCCCTCCGGCCAAAGACTCCCCGTGTAGTAAATGGTGACTGATGCAAGTTAAATCTGTCGAGTCGCAAAGTCCTCCATGTTTCCATAACAAATCAACACCTCTGGGGGTACTGGATTGGAGATTGGGCGGTCACTGATTCAGGTCAAAATTACGATCTGTGGAAGAATGAATGGATGTATGAATGGGTCCATATGATTGGCAGAAGTCGAATTCTTGGCCATAGATGACCCACTGGAAAACAAGAACAATCGCACCCCTCTGCCTAATCAGGCATACGAAAGCAAGTAAGCATAAACAGTAATTAAAAATATCTAATACAGCTGTTGTATTATTTATTCTTTTAAAACTGATTTGATTATAATTTAGCTATTAAAAAAATTATTTAATGTTTAGTAATAAATAACATTTTGAATGTTAAAATTTTTTTAATTTATTGTGGTTATAGTCCAACAATGTTTTATAAAAAATGAAAAAGGCTTTTTTTATGACTCTTGTGGAGTAACTTTGTAGATTGTAACCGGCTAATAACCCATAAATAAGTTTTTGCCTGTTGTAAGAAAAGATACTGATCAATAAATTATAGTAATGGCGCAAAGATATAAATCTTCAAAACGCCTTTTCAATGCCCCTGCCATATTTATTTTCTAAGAAATATATTAATTCTTGTTTTTACCCCACTAAAACTCTCTCTATTTTATTTATACTTCACCATTTACTTCTTTGAAATACGACTTTATTTTCATTTTATGCATTTTTTTTCTTTTAAGTTTGAGAATGTTTCCAGACATTTGACTCTAGGCATTATAAAATAGTTTTTATGGATTTGACAGAAATTTCAGAAACTAAATGGTAGAAAAAAGCTTTTGTCAAACATTTAATTAGCAAAAGAGCTAAGTCGTTTTTTTTTCTTCATTTATAATAATATTAATCTATTTACAATCTATAATGTTTTTAAAATTTATTTAATATCTATATTTATAACATTTTATCTCTATCAATTCTATAAATCAGTGGTAAATATCACAGAATTGATATACAATTTGTAAAAACAAAAGAAAAAAAAATCCTTTCTTAAAAATTGAAAAATAATGATGAGTTTTAACTTCAAATAAACTTTACGTTACATTTAACATTAACGTTACGTTACGTTAGCTTTGCGTTGTTAAACTTTTAGTTACATTTTTTAAAAACTTAGAAACTTAAAATTACGTACCGGTGAAAAACTATATATGAATGTGATGGATTAAAAAAAAATCACCATTTCATAGTTAGTTCCAGAATTATTAATTGTTTAACTAGCAGTAAAAAATGCCACAAGGGCCCCTCTGCAACTCATAAAAATGCAATTTAAGAGTTAAAATTTAGCGTGACAAATCTATTTATAAACTTACCACCAGCTTTCTTTCAAAATGGCTCAAAGGATGGCTTAAGGGAATAGAGCGTTCGCCTTCCCTTTAGGCGAACCGGGTGCGAATCCCACCAATGGCTGGTCGATACGAATTCCGCATCCGGCTTGCACCGATCACTGTGCTGACGTGAAATGTCCTCAGTGGTAGACGGATCATAGGTCCCCTTGCCGTCGGGTTAATCGTAGGAGTTTCTCGTGGTTTTACTCTCCGTGTAACGCAAATGCGGGTTAGTTCTATC